CTCCCCGCCCCCGCACCGCCCCTGCCACGTGCACGCAGTCGCCCCCGCCTCGCCAGCCAGCCGGGTTTGGCAGGCTGAGCCAAGCCCTGTCACCCAGCCCCCTTCCCAGAAGTTACCACCCTAGGGGGGGCGTGGGGGACTTCCAGCTGTTTGTCAGAGGGGGAAGATTTTTAGGCCTGAGCCGGGGTGGCCTGCTCTGACCTGCCCTTCGGGTTCCTGTGCCCGCTGCCCCGCCCAGCCCTGGGGCTCACCTGCCCTGCCCTGCGTGCGTCCTGGGACACCTGCTTTCCCTTCCTTTCCCAGACCTTCGTCCTCCAGAGGCTGCCAGAGGCGTGGGCTTGGGTGGTGGGAAGGTGTGTCTGTGTATGTGTGTGTGCGTGTGTGTATCTGTGTCCTCAGGAGAGCCTCCCCACTTTGGTCCTTACTCCACTCTGGGCTGGAGGGGCCTGGGGAGCTTAGAAACACCCCTGCTTTCCCCCTGCACCAGAGCTGCATAGGGGGATGGAGGAGCAGGAACGTGCAGTGGCCTGCAGCCCTTTCTCCAAAATGTCTGTAGCCCTCACCCCAACTTTACAGAACTGAAAGAGGGAAGCAGGTCTGTGAGGTTGAGCTGAGCTGGGGCCATGTGACTCGGGCCCTGTTCCCTGGGGTCTGCGCTGGGCCAGCTCCCGAGGTGGGGGTGCAGGGTTCCACAGGGAGCAGGCACTTTCTGTGCTGTTTGAGGATGCTAGGCCTTCTGAAGGGTATGGAGAAGAAGGGAGGGGGCGAGGCTGGGAGACCCCCAGGTGCCTGGCAGCAGCCTCCTGCTTTTGCTCTTGGCCTTGGCAGGACCCAAGCGCCGCTCTTGCCTCATTCTCTGGGTGCCCTGAACACACACACACACACACACACACACACACACACACACACACACACACTCTCACTCCCTCTCTACTCTCTCTCTCTCTCTCTCTCTCTCTCTCTCTCTCTCTCTTTCTGTATTGCTGATTGGTTTGTGGGTTGTGCCAGTACCCTGAGATCCTCAGGAGAATGTTGATGGTGAGATCCCTGGGAGAATTAAGAACCACAGCCCTCCCTACTACCCTCCATTCTCGGCTGGCACATTCAGCCTAAAGGGTCTTTCTCACCATGCCAGGCTCAGCTGTGCCCAACTCCAAGTCTGCTTCATGGGGGTGTCCAGGCCAAGGAAAGTCCAGCCTTTACCCCTCACCAGTCAAACTCTCATCTCTTTGACTGAAGTTTCCATAACTACTCCTGCACACTGAAGCTGCCCAAGTTTCCTCTCACCTGCCCCAGCATCTTAACCTCTGTTCCTCTCCCACCTCCACCCCAGGGGGCCTGAAAAATGCTACTCCCCACCTGAGCCAGCCCCTTCCCCCAGCTGTGACCTCACAAGCCCTTTCCCCTCCCCTCTCCTATTCTGAAGGTGCTGGCATCCTGGAGGGAGAGAATTGAAGATTATGGGTGTTTCTTGGGACACTGAGGACAGAGGTGGGGACCACTGAGGCGGTTAGGACCTCCCCCCCCACCACCACCAGCAGTTCTCTGAGCTGTCTGATCCCCTCAGTTGGAGTTTGGTCTTTCAGCCCTGGGCCTCTGACTGTCTATATTTGACACCTTACCCTGATTTTTGGGTAGAAAATAGCACATGATTTGGAACAGTGCTCTCTGACTCCCTGGTGACTGTTGCTCGCCTGTGTGTGGGAGCCTGTGGTGTGTGGTGCCGCCTGTGCGTGTCTGACGTTTGACCTTACTGGGAATTTCCTCCCCCCGCCACCCAGTTTTTCCCTCTCTTTGCTGCGCCCCCTGCATTGATACTAAGTCCAGGTCTTGTGCCCCTTGGATGACCCAATTGTTGCCTTTATGGAGGCTTCTGCTGAGGACAGAGAACTCAATTCCAGATTGTCACCTGGAGAGGGGGGACTGGGTCCAGGACCCTGAGATAGGCTGGGCACGTGGTGGTGGGCAGTGGTGAGTGGTAGTCTGGGACCTCTGAGCCTGAGGCCTGGGTTTCCTGCAGGGGGCAGGATTTGATAGGCTGAGAAAAGAGGGGAGGGCAAAGCCGAGGACAGGCTGTGAGGGTGTTATGGAGGTCACTCTGTGTGTGTGTGTGTGTGTGTGTGTGTGTGTGTGTGTGTGTGTGTGTGTGTGTGTGTGTGTGTGTGTGTGTGTGTGTGTGTGTGTGTGTGTGAGAGAGAGAGATTGCGTGTGCTTACTCAATGGTGGGGGCGGGTTTTGTTGACCCAGGCCACCACATAGACAGGGATGAAGGGACCATCTCTGCTGGAGTAGAGGGTGAGGGTCAAAGGGACTCAGATACAAAAGGGGGCCAAAGCCAGTTTGCCGGGTCTAGGCACACACCAGCCCCTGTCCCAGGGCCTGGGGCATATGTGCAAAGGGGACAAAGTCTCAGTGACCCACCCGCTAGTCTCATCCCGCCCTGTCACAGGCTAACCCCCATGACCTTGGGCAGCGGACCTGGCATCTTGCACTGTGTGTGGATGAGGTAGCCTGTCCCTTCCAGGAGCTTGGGGCTGCTGGCCAGATGTCGGGGGGGGCAGTCCGACTACTGCACAATCGACAAGGAGCTTTTAAGGGTTTGTGCTCAACTTTCTCTGATGCTGTGAAGTTGAGGGCAGTGAGTCAAGTGACCACATGGACTCCTCCAGCTAGGAGCCCCCTTGTGGGAGTGGTGGGGCTTCGTGGGGGTGACACCAAACCAAGGCTGGGACACAAGAGTGCCGCTGCCGGCCTGGGTGCCCGTGGAGCCTGCTCCTGGAGGAGTGGGGCCCTGGCAGGGGCCTTGGGGGAGACGGTGCCCCACTTCAGCTGCTCAGGCCTCAGGCCCAGCCATCTGATAGAGCTGCTGCCACCCTTCGTCGCCCCCGCTTGGCTCCAAGTGGTGCCAGCCTGTCGCTGCAGGCAGTGAAGCAGGAACACGTCATGGTACCCCAAATGGTGCTCATTAACCTCCCACCAGGGGCACCCTGCCTGGGCCCAGAATTAGGTACTCCTGCAGAGCCCTTGTCCTAACTTCTCTGTTCTTTGGAGGAGGGTCAGGCTGGGGAATTTCCCTTTCTGCTCAGAGACAGCAGAGGGGTACAGGGGACAGTAAGGCCGGGTTCGCTGTGGACAGTGTCAGAGGCTGGCACCTTCCTGCTCTCCTTGCTTTCTACAGGGCACTGGGCCCAGGACCTCTGCCTAGGCCTCCTAGTGCCCTGGGGATAAGGGACGTACCTCAGAGAGCTGAGGTTCTAGAGGGAGACTGAGGCCTGGCTGTGCAGGCAAGGCCATAGGGGCTCCTCTGGCCTGCCCTTTCTCCATGGGGGTAGAGGTGGTCCTTTCTGCCTCCCTCCTCCACCCTGGCCTCCACTTCAGGTCAGCTGGGCCCTGGGTGCCCCTCTGCCTCTTTCTACCGCTCTGTCTCCTCCCTTCCCGCTCCCTGCGTCTCCACTCCCGCCCGCCACCCCCCAAATCTGGCATCCTGCAGCATCTCCTTCACTCTTTCTCCTCTTCCCCTCTTCCACTCAACCTGTTCCTTCGTCTCTCCTGCCGTCTGTGTCCGTGCCCACCCTCGCCTCTGTCTGGGACAGGGGCTGTCTGTCCATCTCTCTCTGACCTGGGGACCTGGGTTCCTGAGTATGACAGTTTCTCTGGCATTGACCTTCCTTTCCTACTCCAGTTGGCCACGCTCATGTGGTTGGAGCTGCAGGGGAGTAATGGTGTGGATGCGGCAAGGATGGGTCCCTTTCTCTCTCGCCCCACAGTTCCGGAACTAGAAGGGCCCCCACTCTGAGCTGGGGTCATTGCGGGCTGGGGGAGGCCTGTGGCAGGAGGGGAGCACGGTGGGTGGCGCAGCCTGCCCGTTGGGCCCCCTCTCAGTGGTTTAGCGCTCGCCCTCCTGCGGGCTCCTCTGACAGGCGGCCTCCTCCCCAGGTGTTTAGCACCTACTCCAACGAGGACTATGATCGCCGCAACGAGGACGTGGATCCCATGGCAGCCTCTGCTGAGTACGAGCTGGAGAAGCGGGTGGAGAGGTTGGAGCTGTTCCCTGTGGAGCTGGAGAAGGGTGAGCCGGGCCTCCTGCGCCTCCTCCCCCGTGCCAGCTTCCGCCCTGGACCCTCAGGCGCTTCCACAGAGACGTTACCTCTAACTGGGCCTCTGTCAGCGCCCCACAGCCCCACAGACTCAGCCCAGCCCAGGCTCCTACCGCCACCACCCCTGTCATGCTGCACTGTGTGCTCCTGAAGTCATCAGGCCCCCCGGGAGCACTGGGGGCTGGGTCCTGGGCTGTGTGGGCCAAGCCTTGATGGGAGAGCGACGGTGGAGGTGGGGGGCAGGCCTGGGTGGAATGGTCACATCTGACTACGTCCTTGTGTACAGTGAGGGGGCCGGGAAAAGAAAGGAGGGGCCGCTATAACAGCATTTAACAGGAAACCTGACCAGACTCGGGGGGATCCCCAAGGAAGTGATGCTTGAGTTGAGCCCTGAAGAGGAGATCAGGGGAGCGTGTGGGAGAGAGGAGAGACCTGGTGGATTCAGAGGGTGTTGAAGATGGGTGTGCAAACAAGGCCTTGTAGACCACTTTTTTCTAAGATGGACCGGAAGTCTTGCAAGACCTGGGAAAGGTATTCTAGAGAGACCACACCAGGCCATGCTGTGGGGTGAAGGGTTATAAGTGGATGGAGAGGGGCCACTGCGGTGTGGACAAGATGATGGCCATGCAGGAAGTGGATGAACAACTCGAGAGCTTCTTGGAAGGTGGGATTGGCAAGGTTCGGTGGTTACTTGGCTTCCACAGAGGCTATGAGGGGGTGGGAGGAATCCAGGTGGCTCCCAGGCCCCACGAAGGAGTGGCAGACAGGAAAAGCCTGTTTGTGGGGGAAGATCATGAGTTTGGATGTCAGAAGCCCGTTAGACAGGCGGGTGCGGCAGCTGTGGAGAGAGGAGTGGGTCTAGGGGGAGACAAAAGCGGGAGGTCTTGAATTATAAGGGCTGTGAGCAGGGATGAGACTGCTTAGGGAGGGGGAAGATCATCCCCGTCGTGGCTCCCTCAGTGGTCCTGTGGCCACCACACACCTGCGTCTGCATACAGATAGTACCCCTCAGCACGCCCTGCTGCCCATCTGTTCTTTGGATGGGGCAGAGGGCAGGCAGTGACCCAAGAGCATCCTAGTTGGCTTGGCAGAGAAGAGGTGGACAGAACCATGTCCCTTCCCCAGGTGTGGGACATCCCCACGTGGAGACTGCTTCTTGAGGTGAGGCCATACCTCAGCGTGAGGGTAGGGGATGGGGAGTCTCTCACTCTGTCCCCTGCAAGCCCCAGGCTGGAGCTCCTCACCCCACCCCCCTACCTGCTTCTCATCACCCTCTGCTTCACAGATTCCGAGGGCCTGGGCATCAGCATCATTGGCATGGGGGCCGGGGCAGACATGGGCCTGGAGAAGCTGGGCATCTTTGTTAAGACTGTGACTGAAGGCGGTGCAGCCCATCGGGACGGCAGGTACGGCCTCCCCTTCCCTGATCAGCCATCATCTGTGGGGTGGGCCACTGGGCGAGGGGGGGCAGGCCACTACCTGTGTGGGGCTCAGATGTTCGTGGAGCACTACTGTGCCAGGTGCTGGTCCCGGACCTGGGGGTACAGTGAACAGAACAGACGGAGCGCTCGCCCTCATGGCACTTGCATGCTAGGAGGCTATGTGTAGGTGTTGCGTGTCCTGGTTTTGAGTGTGTGTTGGGCCATGGTGAGGAGAGTACGGGTTTGGAGGCTCTGTCCTAGCAGGGTACCTGTGAGCTTTTTTTTCGTTTAGCAAACACTGAGCCTCTGACGCTGTTGTAGGGCTGGTGCCAGGCGCTGGGGAGTCAGTGTTGAGGCCTTGCCCTCAGGAAGCATGTAGTGTAGTGAGGCAGATGGATGAATAGTGGATACACAGAAAATGGTGAAACAGAGAAAAATACAGGGTGCCACAAAACCCTAAAACAGGAGGGCTTGACCTCTCTGGGTATCAGGGAAGTCTTCCTGGAGGAAGTGATGTTGGAGTTGAGACCCGAAGCATGAGCAAGAGTTAGCTAGGCTGAGGGAGTAGGGCGTGCAAGGCATTGCAGGCAGGGCACCGAAAGCAGGCAGGTATGGCTGGAGCTAGAGACCACAAAGGATCAGGTGTGTGGTGAGGCTGGAAGAGCCAGTGGGGGCATGCCAGGGAGGAGGCTGCTTCTTGCCTGTGTGCCTGTGTTTGGCCTCTGAGGCTGGAGGGTGTGAGTTCTGTGGGTCAGAGGGCTCAGGAAGACCCCCTGGAGTTATGGGCAGCCCAGTGACCCCTCTGGAGCCTCCCTACTGTGTGTGGATTGCAGAGGGGGAGTGGGAACAGCTGTAGGGCGCCCCTGGGTCATTGTAAATTAAAGGCTGATATCAGGGGTACCTTGTGGTACCTCTAAGCACAGACCCCTCCACATGACAGAGGTGAGTGGGTGTCCTTGTGAGGACCGGGGTCATGATGCTGGAGGTGGGGTTGCCTCATTCAGGGAGCTTCTGTCTGCTGCAGCCCAGGTGGCATGGCGGGCTGGGGTTGGGGGGTCAGAGAAAAGGAAGGAAGGCCATCCCTGCTCTTTCACTTACCCCCTCATTTGAACTTTCCAGAGCCTTTCCCATGGTCTCTTATTGGCCGGGTGGGGAGTGTGTGTGTTTGTGAGAGTGTCCCCACACGGGGCGTGTTGGTGTGAGCTGTTTACAGTAGGCTGTCTCCTCCATTTCTGTGTGGGAGCCCTGCGAGGAGGCCTGGCACTCGGGGGGGGAGGTGGGAGTGGAGGAAGGAGGTGGCCGAGGGTCCCTCCCACGCTTTCATCCCCCTCGGCGGCCAGTCTGGACCACCCCCATCTCTCTCCTTGTGTGGAGAACAAGGGCTTCCAGCACCACAGCTGGAGCGTGTTGGGGGCTGTGCACCCGTATGGGGGCAGGGGGTGACCCTGTGGGACTGTGTGTGAACACAGGTCTCAGGCATTTGGAGGAAATCTGCGGACTCAGGTCTGCACGGAGATGGCTGTATAAGAGGGCTGTGTGTTACATGTGTGCGTGGCAGGCCCTTGCTGGTGTGCATGGCTGTGATGAGCTCTGTGGATGTCACACTGGTCTGCCGAGTGTGGTGGAGGAGGGGAAATAGCTTGTGATTGTCATGGCAAGTGTGCTTGCCACAATTCCTGGTCCTGGATGCCTGTGTCTGGTGTGCTGGCCTGGGTCTCACTGCCCGTGGGCCTGGCTGATACCTGGTCCTCCGGCCTCATGCATCTTATGCAGGTAGACAAAGTACCCGGTCCCTGTGGGGACTGAGCCTTGAGTTACTGATGGGAGGGGGGCCATGTCTACCCCAGCTCCACAGTTTGCCTCGTGACCCCCCCTAACCAGTGTCACCTCCCTTAGGATCCAGGTGAATGATCTCCTGGTGGAAGTGGATGGCACAAGTCTGGTGGGAGTGACCCAGAGCTTTGCAGCCTCCGTGCTCCGGAACACCAAGGGCCGTGTGCGGTGAGGCCCGGGAGGATGGGGGCGGTGGGCAGCGGGAGCAGACAGGAGGCTCAGCCCTCATCTGGCCACTTTGCCCAGCTGCCCACGCCTAGTTAAGACTCTGGGTGGCCCAACTTACAGAGAAGCTTTCACCACCTCCCTGCCAGAAGGAACTGCTGTGTGCACATCCCCTGCCCTGTCTGCCTTCACATCTCTAGCCCCTGACTGCTGCTAGCCACCAGCACTCAGGCTTCAAGGCCCGTTGTCCACCATGCCTCCAAACTGGCCTCTTGGGCTTATTCTCCTTTCTCCCTGCCTGTCCTGACTCATTCATTGAAGATCCAAGACATGCTGGGAGAGTGCCGTCCAAACTGCAGTGTATCCCTCCCTCCCCTCTAGCCGGGTGATTCCTGTGAAGACTCTTCTCCCTGGGTCTGTCAATTAAAGGGGTTGGGTTAGAAGCTCTCTACGTTCCTCTCTGGCATAACATTCAAGGACCACTCCCTGCCCCCTCCAAGAGGGGCACTGCCCCCAGAAAAGGGTGGTAGAGAAACAGGATGTGGGTGGCCACGGCGAGGAGGGGCTGGTGCCTGGAAGTTCCACTGTTTCCTCTCCATCCTAATCTCTAGTTGCCATCATCCCGCCCCTTCCTGAAGCTCAGGGCCTTGGAGTGCACACAAGACACCCGTCTACAGCCCCAGGGTCAGCTTCGCCAATCCCCTGCCTCTTTTTCCCCCACGTGGTGGGGGAAGAGCTCCTACGCTGGCACCTCCCCGAACTCCTGTCCCCTGCGGCCTAGCCTGAAGTTTGGCTGACATCTCGCCTCCCCACAGACTGGCCAGAAGGGCTAGTGGGCCTCTGCTTCTCCTGGGAAGGAAACCCAATAAGGGCCCCCTGCTCCCCCATACATTATTAACACTCTGCAGTCTCTGGACTCAGTTCTTTCATTTCACCTCCCTGGGAGGACCTGGATGTGGAGAGGGGAATACCAGCGGGGAGGATGGTGGCATTTTCCAGCCAAGGACAGAGACAAAGGGAACGATGCTGGTGCCTCTGCAGATTTATGATTGGCCGGGAGCGGCCGGGTGAGCAGAGTGAGGTGGCCCAGCTAATTCAGCAGACCCTGGAACAGGAGCGATGGCAGCGGGAGATGATGGAGCAGAGATACGCCCAGTACGGGGAGGATGACGAGGAGGTAGGGACTCCGCCTGGCTGGCAGCGTCATCGCCCCCTGGTGGCTTGATGGAGTATTATAGCCGTCCTCTGCCTCTGCCACTTTCCAGGCCTTGTGAAGAACCCCAGAGCAACGCTCCTATCCTGGGGGAGCCCCCAATCTGAGGGAGGCGATGCAGACCTTTCCCTTAAAGAACCTCTAGTCTGATGGAAGAGTCACACCCTCTGTCTTCAGAAAGCCTTCCTGGTCCTACAAGAAAAACGTAGTTCCCTCTAAGAGCCTCCACTCTGAGGGGACCTAGTCTGAGGAAGGAGACAGTTCCAGACCTCAGGGGACCTGCTGTGTGAGGGGGAAAGCAGAGGCTGTTTCTTCAGGGCCCTCAGTCTTACAGGGGAATTACTCCTGTCTTCTGGGGACTCTCCAGGCTGTTGGGGGTAGACACAAACCATGCCCCTGGGTGGCCCCCAGTCTGATGAGGGCGGCGTGAACCACACCCCTGGGTGGCCCCCAGTCTGACATGGGAAGACTGCTGCTGGCCTAGGCCCCAGTCCTCAGGGCTGAGGGAGGTTGTGGTGGGCAGGGTGCACAGCCGCCTGTCTCCCTTCGCAGACAGGAGAATACGCCACTGACGAGGATGAGGAGCTGAGCCCCACGTTTCCAGGTGGCGAGATGGCCATCGAGGTGTTCGAGCTAGCAGAGAACGAGGATGCCTTGTCCCCTGTGGACATGGAGCCTGAGAAGCTGGTGCACAAGTTCAAGGAGGTGGGCAGAGGGGTCCCTGGGCTGGTGGAAGGCAAGGGCGGGCTGGTGTCCAGCCCTGCAGTACTGCCTACCCCAGCCCGAGCTGAGTGTCTTCGCCCCTGCCCCCACAGCTCCAGATCAAGCATGCCGTGACCGAGGCGGAGATCCAGCAGCTGAAAAGAAAGGTAAGAGCGGCGGGGAGTGGGGGCGGGGCGACCCCTCCACCCTCACACTGCACACGCCGGCCCTTGCCCCCCACCCACAGGTGTGTGCAGAACCAGCCGCTCTGAGGTGAGGGAGGGTAGTGTTAAGAGCGCAAGCTCTGGACCCATCTCTCCACCACTCACTTGCTGCTCTGGGTCTCATTCTCCTCACCTGTAAAATGGGTTGATAACAGTGCCAACACCATAGGATCACTGTGAGGATAAAATAGAATACTACGCGTAAAGTCCTTAGTACAGTGTCTGACACATAATAGGTGCTCAGTAAAAAGTTGTGCTGTTAGCCGTCAGCATTCTAACAGCTGAACGTGGATGTCTTCACGTTCACACAGTCTCACACGTGTCCTCTACATACAAGCCCAGCGGTAAACGTAAACCATCCAGGGGTCCGTGCACCAGCCCCGAACCCAGGCGCATGGTACCCACAGACTCACTCACCCAGACACCTAGAGACACCCACTCTGCTCAGATATAACACGGGGACAACGGACCCATGCTTCACATGGCAATACCTCTGTGTCCGTCTGCTGTGTCCGTCCGCTGTGAGACGCGAGAAGAGTGTCACAGGACGTGCGCATCCTCACAGAGGTGCTGATGCTACCAGATGGCGCGCACACGTGACATCTACAAACACACATATGTGCTATGTACAGACACCCACACAAGCACACCGGGTGCCAACACCCTCACAGGCATAGATACACAGACTTCTGATACACAGTCTGTACTGGGTCCCTGCTGGGCCTGGACATTAGGAGTCCCAGTTCCCTTGGGGCTTCCAGTGTGGCAGGGAGAGGCAGGGGCACATAGGGACTGTGCAGACATGGTGCACCCAGGTACGCACATGTGCACTCCCATATGTGGGCTTAGACCAGCACACCTGGAGAGAGGAGAGTGTGAAACAGCCCCAGGGGGAGGGCAGGGTTTAGATGGCTGAGGCAGGGGTCTCCTAGCAGGGAGACCAGCGTGAGCTTGGAGGCTGGCTTTGGAAGGAGGCCCACAGGCTGTGTGGCAGCTGTTCCTGTGGGGGAGAAGTGGGAGACAGCTGGACTGCCAGGGTGGGCTATGCTTGCAGTGTCCTGACACCCTGCTAAGGGCTCCAGCCTTGATTCTTTGGCCATATGGGGCCATGAGGGGGGAAGGTCACTGCCGACAAAGTGGGAGGCATGAGGGTGAGCAGGACTTGGAGGCCGGCGAACCAGTTAGAAACCCGGGTGATGTCCTGGCAGGGATGGGCAGGGCTGCCCAGGGCACAGGCAGAGGGAATGGATAGGAAGGGCGGATTTGAGTTGCATTTTCTAGGGTGAGGTGACAGGCCATGTTCCTGGGTAGATGCAGAGCATGAAGGGGAGGAACTGCTGGGCGCCTTCTAAGTGCTCAGCACCATCTAGTACCTGTGATGGGCAAAAGCAGATTTGATCCTTGCCCTTGTGCGGCTTAGAGTCTGCGCACCGACACTGGTATCGTAGAAGCTGACACGGACTCTAGAGGAGAGGACAGGGCCGCTGAGCTCCTAGAGCCGGCAGAGCCTGATGCAGCCGGGCTGTGTGTGGGCCGTGCTGTCAGAGGGGAATCACGGGAGACTTCTTGGGAAGTGATGCACTAAGCAGAGGGCCTAAGGGTGAGCTAGTGGGAAATGACGAGGCAGTGGGAGGGTAGGTGTGGGCATTCCGGGCACAGGGAACGGGGAGGCAAAGGCCCTGCAGCGAGAGGGAATGTGGCAGGTCTGAGGATGTGCGGGAAGGCCCGTGTGGCTGGGACACAGAGGGCAAGGGGTGTTTGCAGCCAACGAGGTTTGAGGGGCAGGCAGTGAGTGGGGCTTGAAGCTGAGCGCTGGGGTGGCAGTGAGATGATGGCACCTTTGGGATGGAGGTGGGCTAGTCCGAAAAGGAGGACTAGGTTTGTGTGGGTGGGGGCAGGGTGCCTCTGAGGAGCTGGGAGGTGCGGGGCTAAGTACACAGAGGTGGTGAAGGAGGTGAGTGGAGAGAGAACAGAGTCCCCAGGACTGGGCTGTGGGTGCCGGGAGGTCTGCACTGGGGTGGCCAGGGAGCTGGGAGAGGAGCCAGGACTGTTTAGGAAGCCACAGAAGCCAGGGCTGCAGAGAGGGGATAGAGGGCAATGGTGACCCTCACCTGCCCTGTTCCTTTACCTCCACCATCTCACTGCAGCCTCTGTGAGCTTGGCAAGGAAGGAATCACTCCTGCTTTACGGATGGGAGGACTAAAGCTTAAGACAGAAGTGGCCTTACCCCAAGTCCCTGAGCTAATCAGTGACGATCCTGGGCCTCCGGCCTTCTAGGAGTGTGGCAACGTGTCAGGGCCCCTGGCCGGGAAGGCTGAGGTTGTGGTCCCGCCTCCCCCCTCTCCAGCTTTCGGTTCTCAGGCTCAGCCAAGGAGAGTCAGTAGTTGGGGGGCAGTGGGCTCCATATCTGCAGGAATCATCCAACGACTCGGGCCCCCGCCAACCCAGGGGTGTTTGTCCCTCTCAGCTGCAGAGCCTGGAGCAGGAGAAGGGGAGGTGGCGGCTGGAGAAGGCCCAGCTGGAGCAGAGCGTGGAGGAGAACAAGGAGCGCATGGAGAAACTGGAGGGCTACTGGGGCGAGGCCCAGAGCTTGTGCCAGGCTGTGGACGAGCACCTGCGGGAGACCCAGGCCCAGTACCAGGCGCTGGAGCGCAAGTACAGCAAGGCCAAGCGCCTCATCAAGGACTACCAGCAGAAGTACGTGGCTGGGGGCTGGGGCTCCTGGGCCTGGGGAGGACTGAGAGGCCTGTGGTGGCATTCCCTCCCCACCCCAGCCAGGTAGGGAGGCAAGGAGCACAGACGTTGGAGGGCCCTGTGGTGGGGATGCCTGGGTTTGTATATGCCTGGGCGCCAGAGGCTTTGGGAAGAGCTGGGACCTCCCGACCTGAGAACGAGGAGCCGGCAAAAGCTGCCCAGGTGGAGCCGAGGACGGGGCTGAGGACCCTGAGACTCTCTGGATGGAAGCTAGACCAGACACCCTCACCCACTGTCTTGTCTCCCACTGGTACCCAGGGAGATTGAGTTCCTGAAAAAGGAGACGGCACAGCGCCGGGTTCTAGAGGAGTCAGAGCTGGCGAGGAAGGAAGAGATGGACAAGCTCCTGGACAAGGTAGGCCCAGGGGCGCCCTAGGGGCAGGCAGGAGCGGCAGGTCAGCCCCCCTGTGGCACCCACCCTGTGGATCCTGCAGGGAGAGAGAGGAGTCATGCTGCTGGCTGGCAGCTCAGGGTCATGTCTCCTTCAGGGGGGCCCGAAGGGCAGGGACCATGCCCAGCGCCCAGGCCTGACTCCCTCTCCCCTTTGTTTTTCAGATCTCGGAACTGGAAGGAAACCTGCAAACACTGAGGAATTCCAATTCTACTTAACAGGAATCATTCCTTGACCGGACAATGACGAATCCCCTCCCATCGTCCTCCCCCCTCCCCTGTCCTCAATACTTTGCCCCGCCCCCTACCAGCCTGGGGACAGGTGCCCCGACTCCCCCACCCCTCCACCCCACCTCCCCCAGCTTCAGGGACCAGAGGGCCCATATTACAGGCCCCCTTAAGGTGGCCCCGGGCAGACAGGTGGCTGGAAGGATGGCCTCCTTCTAGCCTTTGGGGCTGAGGCACAGAGGCCATGGGATGCCAAGGGCTGGCCTGGGTGGTGGATGGACACGAGGACCTGCAGACCAAACTGCCAGACTTTACAACCTCCAGCCTTTGTCTCTGGACTGGAAAGGGGCTGGGGGCTCTCCCAGCATCTCACCACCTGGAGGCTGCTCCCTGCTCACGGGGCCCCGAGGTGGCCCCTGGGCCTCTTGACTTGAGAGTCTACCTTCTTCAGCCTTCCCCGCTCCCCGTCTTTGTGCTGTTCTGTTGCATTCTGACCCTCCTGCTGGGAGGGGGTTGCCGCTACACCTCTCCTCCCATCCCTGTCTGCCCTCGCAGGATGGGTAGAGTCTACCCAGAGCCTGGAGGCTGGGCCTGGCCCTGCACTGATTTCTCATGTATCCTTCGTGAAAAGGGAGAGTCCAGGACACCTGATGTCCAGCTCCCCCTTGGGGCAGCAGCCCTCGATTTCTCCTTGTGCCTCCCCTCCCCCAGGTGCCAAATAGCCATAACCTCTCCCTGGAACTGTTCTGCGGCCTCTTTGGGGACCAGGATTCCTGGCTGACCCTGGGAGTGAGCGGGAGGAGAGGAGGTCAGCTTAGGGGGCCTGGTTTTAGGCAAGGGGAACATTTGTCACTGGAGAGCCAGGCCCTGTCCTGCCCTACGCAGGGCCACACCTGGAAGCCTTGTACTAACATTGCAGAGATTCAGCCTCACCCCACCCACACCCACAGTTTTCCAATGTTTTGACTGGAGGGCAAAATTTTACTACTTTTCATCTTTTTGGAGACCAGGGCTGCCCTGCTGGCAGCCTGCTTTCTAAGTGAAATCGACTCCGTTTCCCCACTTTAACCCCAAATTGGGGCTTGGACCAAGGGAGGTGAGACCCCCACCCCAGGTCCCCTCCCCTTTCGGATTACATCTCTCATTTTGCCTCTTCCTCATGCCCCTGCCTCTGCCTGGGTTTTTGTTCTTTTTTTAAAAGACAACAACACTTGTTCCATCAATTTTGGCTTTTCCTCGTCCCCTGTAAATAGACCGTGCCATCGATCAGTATTTCTCAGCACCCACTTCCTGCCCCCAGATGTGCGCCTACCCCCGAAGGAGCTGGCTGTGTCAGTGCCTGGGCCCATGCACTTCACCTCCTCGGCCTCAGCAGATGGAGGGGGCGGGGCTGGCTGGGCGGGGCCGTGGGGGGGTGCTTCTGGTTTCTCCGGCCAGGCCACCTCTGTCCCGCCTTCCACAGGACTGCGTCTCTGTATATAATATATATATGTATGTATTGTTCCCGGTTTTGTACGGACCATGCCCTCTGTCAGGTCGTCCCCATAAAAGCAGCCCCCAGAGCCTTGCTGCCTGGTTTCTTGATTTGCAGGAGGGGGTGGGGGGGCAGAGATGCCAGCCTGAGCCCAGTGGTCTCCCGCTAGTGCTACCTCTGACCCTGAGGATCTTTATACTGAGAACCCTTGTTCCCGCAAACTCCGTCTGCCACCACCCCCCCACCGCCCCCCATCCCTTCCGGGGCGGGGCTGGGGTTTCTAGAGCTTTCCTTATGCTCATCGCTTTCCTCTTTTTCAAGGTCTCTGATGGAATTCAAAGGGTGGGTTAGATATAGTAAGGTGAACCCTGAGTCCCTCCCCTGAGAAGTCTAACCTGTTGGGGATACCCAGCCCCTAGTTTTCTGGAGGTGCAGCTGGGGGTGGGAGATGATATGTCAGAGCAGTTTTGTCCCCTGGGTTCTAGAGAATCTCTCTGGCGGTAGCCAGAGAGGCCTTAAGTAGTCCGAGACCTCTGCTCTGTGCCAGCAGGTTTGGTTGCTAACTCACCAGTTCTAATACCAATGGGTCTGGGAGTCCAGATGCCAGGGTTCCAGGGACAAACTTTAGTGAAATGCCAGACAGATGAGAGCAGGGGGCAGTGGGGCCTCTCCTTGCTCTGGGAGCTGTGTGCTGTGTGTGAGAAAAACGTACAAGACACTTGTGTTCAGTGGCCCGGCCACCAAGAGGATTCTCACAGTCCCCTTTGCCCTAAAGAATGAAGTCCCGACATTAGGGCCCCTTCAAAGTCACCTTGGTGGGTCCCTGACAAACCCGAGATGAGTGGCCTCCACCAGAACTCCCAGTGGCAGTCAGCTCCTGTGGTGGCCACTCCCTTCTGGATGGCTCTGTCGCACAAGTCTCCTTCATGTCAAGCTGAATTCTGGCTTCCCGTAGCTTCATTCCAAAAATCCTAGTTCTATACCTCAGGGCCATATATAACCAGTCCAGTTCTGCCACCCACCTAAGAATCACCTGGCAACCTGGGGATGGTGGCCGTGCCTCTCTAGGCATTTTCTCTTACAAGTGGATCTTCCTTGGAACACTGCTGGGAAGGCAAATCCAGGTGGCTGAATCCCAGGATCAGAAACCACCAAACCACAAGGTCACAGGTCATATCTCCAGAGTTACAGGTGACTTGGGCCCTGCTCAGGCAACCTGGCCAAGAAGTCCCAAGGAGGGGCTTCCCTGGGGGCGCAGTGGTTGAGAATCCGACTGCCAATGCAGGGGACACGGGTTTGAGCCCTGGTCCGGGAAGATCACACATGTTGCGAAGCAACTAAGCCCATGCGCCACAACTACTGAGCCTGTGCCCCAGAGCCCATGAGCCACAACTGCTGAGACCACGTGTTACGACTACTGAGGCCTGCGCACCTAGAGTCTGTGCTCCGCAACAAGAGAAGCCACTGTGATGAGGAAACCCGCGCACTGCAACGAAGAGTAGCCCCCACTCGCCACAACTAGAGAAAGCCCGCACGCAGCAACGAAGACCCAACGCGGCCAAAAATAAATAAATTCATTAAAAAAAAAAAAGTCCCAAGGAGTGAAGTGGCTGGATCTTTCTGGGTGACGAGGCAGACATGGGGGTTGTGATGAGGGCTTCTGTTGATCTGACCAGAGCAGAGCATCCAGGGTGGGGTCCTGCCCCCGTCTGTCCTGCGTATTAGGTGAGGGGCTTGCACCCCGTATGTTCCAAAAGGTGGAATCCCTTTGGAAAGTAGCCCAAGTCAAAGCCTGAGTGTGGTGTGTGGCTGGGGACGGCGTGTGTGGCTTTGCGAGTTCCTCAGGCCTGAGAGGTGACTCACCTGTGAGCTATGTCCATGTTTGGGGCTATGTCAAGTGGCCATGGGCAAGCCTGTGTGAGGCGTTACCCCAGCCCTGCCCTGCCACCTCCCCAGTTCTTAGGAGCTTGTGTAGGTTTGCCACAGCCCCAACATTCGCCATAAGGGAGGGAAATCAGATGAGGGGAGTTTCCCAGCTCCCAGAAATTTAGGGGGTCCTCCTGAGTCCTATGGTCTATAGACACCCTCCCATAGAATGTGCCCCCAACACTGACATTACATACCTATCATCTCCCCACTCCCAACGGGGGCTATATAATCAATCCCTCACTCCAGCCTACCACCCAGATTTCACCAAATGCCTGCAAACTGTGTTTCCCAGACACAGCCCCGATAACCCCTCCAGAGTCACCACTCCCTCCCCAGATCTCCACAGTCCAGCCAGCAACCCATGGCTGCCAGCAGATTCTAAAGACACCCAGAGATGCCAAAACTCCCACGATCTCATTGGATCTTCAGCCCCTAAAGTTTATGAATTCTGTCCTTACCCATGGTCGCAAGACCATCCGGGCTCAACATGCCACCTCCCAGAGCCCCTCAGAGACCTGGGACTGCAGAGACTTTGGCCATCAGGGAACTCTATCCCTACAGACTGCACACCGCTCCCCTGAGCTCTGGACCCCCTTGCCCAACCTCACCACTTGCTCTTGAACAAACAAAGGGGGTAACAGAAACACCTACCTCATGGGTTTATCGTGAGAGTGACATTAATCATCTGAGAAAAGTGCCTAGCACAGTGCCTGGCACCCCCTGCACCATCCCGGGACCGTAGCTAGCTGTTGATTATTGTATTCTTTCCCCTGGCTGGCCTGCCACCACCTCCAGTTCACCAGGTCCAAGTCTGACCTCATCCCCCCACGCCCCCTCCACCTACAGGGCCTCAAGCCAGGACCTGCAGTCTAGACTCTTCCTTCTCCTTCTGTGGCCAGCCAGTCCCCAAATCCTGTCAATTTCTTCAATTCTACATCCTTAATATTCCGCATCATGATCTTTGACCTTCGTGCCCACTGCCATCACCTCTCAACAGCCTCATGAGTGGTGCCCCAGCCTTCACGCAGCCTTCTCCAAAGGAGCCGACGGCTTCTTCCTAAAATGCAAATCAGAGCCCCTCACTTCTCTGTTACTTTTTCCCCTATGGCTGGTAGGATAAAGTGCAAGCCCCTCCCCCCACCCTTCATCTTCGTCTCCTTTCCTCCCCACCCCCCCAAGTCCCACTAGCACTCCTACCCTGGCCTGGCCTGCACAAGTAGCCAACAGGTCACCTCCTCCAGGAATCCTCCAGGATCACTTCCACACACAGCCCCCGCCCCGATCCTCACCCGCCCCCAGGCGAGGCCTGGCTCCCTCTGGTGTGCTCTCCCCGCGCTGAAGTGTCCTCTGTGAACCAAGGCTCACAGCACCCGCTCTCTTGAGGGCCTCCCCACTCGTCTGTCCCCCTGACAACGCCGCGAGAGCCACTACGGGCCCGGACCAGGTCGGCTCTGTTCTCCACGGTCCCCTCGGGCCTCGGCGCATCCGACTGCTCTGTGGACTTCTGTTGAATGGATGAATCAGGAGCCCTCACAGGCCTTGCAGAGGAGGCAGAAGCCCCGTAGGTCCTAAGGTGGGGCCGCAACTCCGTCCGCTCACACCCGCCCCGACTCCCGCGGGCCGAGGAGTAGCGGTAACTGGAATCCCCTCGCCCGGCTCCGCCAGCCGGGGCCGCCTCCTCCCTCCCCCGTGCCCCCGCTGCCTCCGCCCCTC